TGACAGCTCAGAGCCTAGAGCCTGCTTTGGATTCTAGGTCTCCCTCTCTCTCTCTCCTGCTCACGCTCTCTTAAAAATCAACAAACATTTTAAAAATTTCAACTCCAGTTTATTGGAAACATTATATAACTTACTTTGCAATCTCTTCAGTGAAAAGATAAAAAATACAATAAAATAAAAAGGCTGATCTGCCTACTCTGCTTCTGAGTTCGTAGATGAAATGTTTATTAGAGATCTAAGTTTAGGAAAACCTCAAATCCCTGAATATAAGGTGGCCCATCACTCTGGTTGTGTTAAGGCCCATTGCTCTTTCCAAATGTATTCTACAAAGAAGTGTGTCCTCTGATTTCAAGCAAACAGTACCATTTATGCCAGATACAAAAATACAGATCCCATCACTTGTTACAGCTGGTTTGTTTGTTTGTTGGGGTGGGGGGTGGGGTTGGCATAAGGGAGAAGAAAGAGTATGTGAAAGTAGTAATTGCTTATGATTCAGGAAAGGAAGCGAGGAATAATCAACTGGGAAAAAAATGAAAACAAAAAGTCACAACAATGAGTCAAGTCAGCCATGATTAATTAACTCGATTCTGGCTTGTGCTGAATAAATGAAGAAAATGCATTTGAGAGAACAACCTGGGGAATCCACTCATATCTCCCCCAACAATTTCATTTCAACGTTAGGGAGAACTAGAATGTGTTCCTTAAATCTTGTCTTCTTGTAAAGATGCCAGCTTTGGAGGGCAGACGGGGGTGGAGGGGACAGGAGAAATGAACTTGGCAAGACTAAGTGCTAATTGGGAAAAAAAAAATAGTGGGTTTGCTGTTATATATAAACTCGAGCAGATGAATCCAAAGACTGCAAGCTCTAACATATTTAATTGATGGCTAACGACGTGTGGGATAATTTATTGGGCATGTCCTGGAATCTCAAAATACTGAATGTTTCTAGCACTTCAGTGGCCTCTGGTATGGTTCATGCAGGCACTACACGTTTAGGGAATACTTCTCCCGCTGTTCCTTGGGAAACTGTATCATCTGATGATTTTGGTGCTTCTATGGAGAGTCACTGCTCCAGATAGAGGTCACTGGGGTGATTGAAGTGTTGGTTATCTGATTAAAAGGAAGCCAGAGGTCAGGATGCCCACGGAACTTGGGTGAGCCTCAAATAACAGATTTTAAAGAGCTGTTTTCTTTAGGAAAAAACACTTTTCACACCTCCTCTACCATGCACCCACTTGTTAAATACCCCATTAGCAACAGCCCAAGGCCATCAGGTCTGAGACAAAGCCATCCAGGAAGCCATATTCAACAAACACCAAGCTAGAGGGTGTCAGCCACAAGCCACACCTGGCAAGGATTCCCTTCAGCTACCTGCATCCATCTGTTTCCTGCAAGGATGCAGTCTCCTGGAGTTGGTAATCTCAGGCCTGATGCTGGCCTTGACATGACATGGCAGACCCTGGCCACAAGGAGCCGGGCTGCTCGGACACATGCACACATCTTTCCAAGTGAACCCGGGAAACGTCTTTGCCTCTGATAACTTGCAAGGTAGGGAGAAACATATTGCCTATTATTTATTCTAATAATAAACCATTACCCCAGGCACATTTTTATTCTCCAGATTTAATAAGGTATTTTGTGAACCAAGGCAGTGGAGGGAGGGAGAAAACAATTGTGGTTATTAGGAAGATGATTTCTGTTTGTTTCAGATGCAGAAGTAATCATCATTCCTTTCCTTTATAATCAAGGGTTATAATTGCCCCCCCACACCGAAAAAGACCTCCCCAACCTCTTTCTCAGGCCAAGAAAATTCCAACAACACTTATCAAAATTTCCTGAGGAACTAAAAGGGCCTGGCATGCTTCTCTGGACTAGTCTCCTAGGACCACCATTACCCTGTAGTCAGAGAACTCTGACTATGGAATAGGAGATCTTAACACAGATTTTCTGTCATTCCCTCCCCCATTCCCAGAAGTGAGAAAGAGTGGGAAACACCAGGTGGGTGACTTACATACCTGTCACGCACCTCTGCCTGGATGGGATGGGTGTATGTTCTCAAGACATTTTCAAGTTAAGATATTTCAACTGTATTTTTTTTTCTCTTTCTGGTTAGATGTTGCAAAGCTCTAATGATAACTTTTATCACAAGTTGATAATTTTATAATCTGCATCCCAATTAAATAGAGTCAGCAGAGAAACACAGGCCACTGGCCTTATCTGGGCAGTCATCCTGATCATGTTAATTGAGAGACATTTGAAAGGCATCTTAAATGCAGCAGTTAAGAGGATGAACTCTAAAAGCCAGATTTCCAAGAGTCAGATCTCAACCCAGCTACTTATTACTTCAGGGACCTTGGACAAATTTCTCACCTGGACCTGCCCATACACCTCGACAGGGTTACAGTAAGGTTTAAATGAGTTACCATCTGCAAAGCAATCAGATGGTGCCTGACACACAAAAGCACCAGATAAGTGCCTTTTCACTGTAAAAAAATAAACATAATCCAAAGTCTATTGGTTGCTGATGCTGTTATTTATTCTTTTTTATAGGCTGGCAATGTCCTGAGTCTGCCTGGCTATGTGTTTACATGTTAGGTGGACAATAGAATAGCGACAGAACACCAAGGATTTGAAAAGTGGCTGATGCTTCCCGAAGTTTTGTGCTGTGACATTAAAAGTTCACATCCACAGATCGCAGAGTATGTCAACAGAAATAAATCATGTAACAACCACTGTACTAGCAGCAAAAAAAAAAAAAAAAAAAGGCAAAGTGAACTAAGTCCCATTGGACCAATTTTCCAGACAAGGAAATAGGGACATAAATGACTTTCCAATCGAAGGCAGCCCAGGTGAACATCCCCAGGCTGGTTTTCTAAGCTCTGCTGTTATCTGCATCTAAAGAAATCTTTACATAGCTGTAAGAGGTCTTTACCATTCCTGATTTCTGTGACTTTACAAAATGTCATCATTTAAGCAATGGAAACAATCTTGTAGCTGAAGAAGCTTGAGAAGTATTCATCTTCTAATTTTCCAGTTCAGTTGTCTGAAAGGGTTGTCTGGGAGGTGGTTGTTATCATTGCTCTGTGTGTGTGTGTGTGTGTGTGTGTGTGTGTGTGAAGGGGGGGTGGGGAGGGAAGGAGACACTTCCTGGAAAGCTTAATGGAAGGAGCACTAGAAGATATATGCATCATGAAAAATGAGCCCTTGTAACCCCTACACTTAAAGAATCTTTACAGGAAGAAATACGTTCACCAAAGTTCTGAAACAATGAGGAGGCCTTCATGTAAATTGCAGGCAATTTAAAAGGAAAATCTAGGTCATCTGGCTGTTTGCTCTGTCATCATCAGTATTAATTAGACACTGGAAATAATGACTGAGCTCAGAGAGCTCTTCAAATTTAAAATAATAATAATAATAAACCAACAGAGCACAGCTTTACCTTCAGAAAGAAAATATTTTCACAAGTAACGTTCTGAAAGAACCTGAGTGGGAAAACCTTGCAATTAAATTCTGCAAATGCGCTGTGAAATAATCCCAGGGGAAGTCTTATCTGTACTTAATATTCAAATAAATATTCTTTTTGTGTGCCGTGCATTCAATAGGGTGCATTTTATTTAATTTAAGTGTATAACGTAATCAGTATCATGAGGAATAATCACAAGAAGCAGTAGAACCCTTTAACTAGGATAAATGGGCCAGCTCCACAGTTGAATGGGCAATCGTGGGCGAGGAGGGAAATGCCAAGTGCAGAATGTCTGGCACAGTTTTCCCTGATTGTCCTGTAGGACCTTGATACTCAAAGTGAGGTCCGTGGCCCAGCAGCACTGGCACCACCTGAAACCTCATTAGAAATGTGTATCTCAGACCCCAGCCCAGACCAACTGAATCAGAACCTGCATTTTCCAAGACCCCAGGTGATTCACATCCACATTAAATCTAGAGAAGTACTGAGATCAGGTGAGTCGAAGGCAGCTCTGCTCTCAAATAGCTCCCCTCCTGTGTCGTCACATATGGTAGACACCAAAAGGCTGCCAGAGCAGGCTCACTCCCCCTGTCACCCCAGTCATCAGGATAGGAGGAGAAGGCAGGCGTCCTTAAAGCAAGTACGGTGCACAATCTGTGCATAGTATGTACTTCTGCTCTCTTTGCTGGACTGGATTTTGGCCATTCCATGTTATTTCTGCTGACTCACACTACCTTCCTAATTGAAGCAGGTCTCACACCAGCCACGTGCCTCCTTCCACAAAGAGAGGGCATACTCTTTGCCGTAGCACTTATAGTCTTCGGACGTTAGAGAAGGTTTAGTGTGGAGCTATGCTTGCATCTGGGGACATCAAAAGCACTTTCAATTCACCTGGATCCAAGCCAGGCTCCCTCACAGAGCATGAAAGGAATCTCTCACCACCAACAAAATGGCAGGTAAAATTCCAGGACAGACCTGCTTAACAATGTACAACTTGTGATTATTAAGGAATATTATCTCTAATTCAGCAGGGAATTATGAGAAAGCATGGGTCAGGGAGAAGTAATGCTCTGCTAGCAGACCTAATATTTAAAAAAAAAATTAAAATTAAAAAAAAGCTCTGGGAAGAGCCAAGATGGCAAAACAGCACATATTTTTGTGTGTGTCGTGTCCATGAAATACAGCCAGATCAACACTAACCCATCCTGCACACGTAGGAAACCGATCTGAGGATCAACGCAACAGTTTGCACAACCTGAACCACAGAACTCAGCAGGTGCGCGGCACGGGGAGGTGAACCGCGGGAGAGAAGCCGCGGAGCACGGGGGGCGGATTCTGCTCGTGGAGAGAAGACGGAGCCGCGGGGACAGTACGGGAAAATCACCCTCCCCTCCAAGGCAGCTGGGGAGAAAGTGGAAAAGTGGACACGGCCGCAGGGGCTGAAGTAAAAAGGGAGAAAGGATGAAGGAGAGGGTTTAAATTTCACTAAGACTCTATAAACTGGGGGGCTCCAGTCTGAACCCCCGCAGCTCCTTACCTGGCGATGCTCCGGTGGGAAGGGCGAATCCCCAGGAGCTGAGTGACGTCCGGGGTGCTCGGGCCGCACGGGGAGAGGCGGCTCCCCTGCCGGGAGGGCCCCCCACGGGCAAAGGCCCCAGCGGAACCCAGAGAACAACCACATTCGCCGGTGCCGGAACAAGGTCGTTACGGGGAAGCCTGGGGACAGACGTGTGTTGTGGTTTTCCTTAATCCCTGAAACGCCGCTGCCACACAATCGCGTGAACTTTTTCTGGGGCGGGCTGGCCCCCAGCGGCAGTGTCGAGCCATCGGCAACAGCACAGTCCCGAGAACGTTCCTGGGTGCGGCCGGCACCGGCCATTGCTCAGAAAGACCCTCCCACAAAGGGCAGAACGGGTCAAAGCCGCAGTTCCTCAGAAGTGAGGGGTCTGGAAACACAGCTGCCTCTGAGATAAAACTCAAGGGGGAAGGGCTGCCTGGCAACCTGACGGCTTGGTCGTGCACAGTGTAAAATTGGGGAACTGACAGAAGCCATAGACAAAGGTCTGGTGCTCTACTGCTGACGGGGGAGAACTGAGTTCAAACACTAGGGTGCCGCCATTTTCATTCCTCCCGGCGCATGCGCAAACACACCTACAAGCGCCACAACCAACCACCCCAGGAAGCTAAGCAGCGCCATCTAGTGGAGAGCGGAGCCTTCACACTAAGCCCCGCCCACTGGGCCAAACGTGCTGTTCAGGAACCCAAGTCTCTCCACCTGCTTCGGTTACAGACTATTAAGAGCTTCATAGGTTGACTTCTATGGGAAAAGAATGTAATTTCAATAGTATTTCAGTCTGTTTTCTGGTCCATCTATTCAATTTCCTTTTGCTTCCTTTTCCTTTTCTTGAATACAGAAAGAGAAAAAGATAATTTTTATTTTCAATATTTATTAAAATATTTTTAATTTTTTGACTATTTACTTTTTTGTAGATTTTTCAAATTCTAATTTACTTCCATCATGTCACTTTATTCTACTTCATTGTATTCTTTTTTTCAAATGTTTAATGTTTTCCTTTTTTTTTTTTAATCCCTTTTTTCTCTAATTTATCAAGCTCAACACCCAGGCCAAAACAAACCTAGGATCCAGCATCATTTATTTTTTTGTCTGTGTGTTTAATTTTTTAATTTAAATTATTTTAATTTTAATATTTTTTACCTTATTGATTCCTTTTCTCCCTTCAAAATGACGAAATGATCGAATTCAACCCAAAATAAAGAACAGGAAGAAACAAAGGCCAGAGACTTAACCAACACATCTACAAACACAATGTCTGAACCAGAATTTACAGTCACGATAATACAAACACTAGCTGGGGTTGAAACAGATTAAAATCCCTTTCCATGGAGGTAAAAGAAGTAAAGGCTAGTCAGGATGAAATAAAAAAATGCTCCAGCTGAGCTGCAATCTTGAATGGATGCCACAGCAGCAAGGATGGATGAGCAAATCAGAGATATAGAGGACAAACTTAGGGAGAATAATGAAGCAGAAAAAAGGAGGTAGACTAAGGCAAAATAGCATGATATAAGACTTAGATAAATCAGTGATTCATTAAAAAGGAACGACATTCATATCATAGGGGGTCCCATAAGAAGACAGAGAAAAAGGGGTAGAAGGGTTATATGAGAAAATCACAGCAGAAAACTTTCCTAACCTCGGGAAAGACACAAACATCAAAATCCAGGAAACACAGAGGACTCCCACTAGATATAATAAAAACTGATCATCAACAAGCCATATCATAGTCAAATTTACAAAATACTCAGGCAAGGAAAGAATCATGAAAGCAGCAAAGGGAAGAAAAAAAAAGTCCTTAATCTAAAGTGAAGAAGATCAGGTCTGTAGCACACCTATCCACTTTGCAGGTCAGAAAAGAGTGGAAGGATATATTAAATATGCAGAATTGGAAAAATTAGCAGCCAATTCTTTATCTAGCAAGGCTGCCATTCAAATTAGGAGAGATTAGGGGCACTTGGGTGGCTCAGTCAGTTAAGTGTCCAACTTTGGCTCAGGTCATGATCTCATGGTTCATGGGTTCGAGCCCCGCATTGAGCTCTGTGCTGACAGCTCAGAGCCTGGAGCCTTCTTCAGATTCTGTGTCTCCCTCTCTCTCTGACCTTCACCTGCTCATGCTCTCTCTCTCTCTCTTTCTCAGAAATAAATTTTAAAAAACATTAAATAAAAACAAAACAAAATAGGAGAGATTAAAAGTTTCCCAAACAATAATTATGGAGTTTGTGACCACTAAACCAGCTCTGCAAGAAACTTTAAATGGGATTCTCTAAGAGGAGAAAAGACAAAAAATAAACACATAAATAAATAAAGACCAAAAGCAACAAAGACTAGAAAGGACCCAAACACCACCAGACGCTACAACTCTACAAGAAACATAATGGCAATAAATTCATATCTTTCAGTACTCACTCTAAATGTCAATGGAATACATGCTTCAATCAAAAGATATAGGGTAACAGAATGGATAAGAAAACAAGATCCATCTATACGCTGTTTACAAGAGACCCACTTTACATCTAAATACATCTTCAGATTGAAAGTAAGGGGATGGAAAAACATCCATCATGCTAACGATGACAAAAGAAAGCTGGAATAGCCATACTTCTAGATAATCAAGACTTTAAAAGAAAGACTGTAACAAGAGATGAATAAGGGATGGGGCGCCTGGGTGGCTTAGTTGGTTAAGCGTCCGACTTTCGCTTAGGTCATGATCTAGCGGTTCGTGGGTTTGAGCCTCGCGTCGGGCTCTGTGCTGACTGTCAGCTCAGAGCCTGGAGCCTGTTTCAGTCTGTGACTCCCTCTCTCTCTGACCCTCCCCTGCTCGTGCTGTCTCTCTCTCTCTCTCCTAGAAATAAATAAAACATTAAAAAAAAATAAAAAAAAAAGAGATGAATAAGGGCATTAGATCATAATGAAGGAGTCTACCCAGCAAAAGGAACTAACAGTTGTAAACCTTTATATTCCAAATGTGACAGCACCCATATATATACATCAATTAATCACAAACATAAAGAAACTCATAATAATACCATAACAGTAGGGGACTTCAACAACCCACTTCCAGTAATGGCCAGATCATCTAATCAGAAAATCAACAAGGAAACAATGGCTTCGAATGACACAGTGGACCAAATGGACCTAACAGACATATTCAGAACATTTCATCCTAAAGCAGCAGAATATACATTCTTCTCCAGTTCACATGGAACATTCTCAAGAATAGATCACATACTGGGACACAAATTAACCCTTAACAAGTACAAAAAGATGGAGATCATACCATGCATATTTTCAGACCACAACATTATGAAACTAAAAATCAACCACAATAAAAATTTGGAAAGATAACAAATACTTGGAGACTAACGAACTTCCTACTAAAGAATGAATGGGCTAACCAAGAAGTAAAAGAGGAAATTTAATTTTTTATAGTTCATTTATTTTTGAGATAGAGAGAAGCAGAACATGAGTGGAGGAGTGGCAGAGAGAGAGGGAGACACAGAATCTGAAACAGGTTTCAGACTCCGAGCTGCCAGCACAGAAACCGATCTGGGGTTTGAACCCACGAACCACAAGATCATGACCCAAGTCGAAGTGAGATACTTAACTGACTGAGCCACCCAGGCACCACAGGAGGAAATTTAAAAGTACATGGAAGCCAATGAAAATGATAACACCACAGCCCAAAACCTCTGGGACGCAGCAAAAGCGATCATAAGAGGAAAGTATATAGCAGTCCCGACTTCGTAAAGAAGTAAGAAAGGTATCAGATACAAAACCTAACTTCGCACCTTAAAGAGCTGGAAAAACAACATCAAATAAACCTTAAAAACAGCAGAAGACAGGAAACAATAAAGATTAGAGCAGAAATCAATGCTATCGAAACAGACATACACACACACACACACACACACACACACAAATACACACACACACAAAACAGTAGAAAAGATCAATGAAACCAGAAGCTGCTTCTTTGAAAGAATTAACAAGATTGATAAACTACGAGCCACTTTGATCAAAAAGAAAAGGACTCAAATAAATAAAATCAAGAATGAAAGAGGAGAGATCACAACCACCGCAGCTGAAACAAAAACAATAATAAGAGAATTGTGAGCAATTATATGTTAATAAAATAGGCAATCTGGAAGAAATAGACAAATTCCAAGAAACATATAGACTATCAAAATTGAAACAGGAAGTAATAGAAAATTTGAGCGGATCAATAACCAGTAAAGAAATAGAATTAGTCATCAAAAATCTCCCAAAAAAGAAGACTCCAGGGCCAGACAGCTTTCCAGGGGAATTCTACCAAACATTTAAGGAAGAGTTAACACCTAATCTCTTGAAGCTGATCCAAAAAATAGAAAGGGAAGGAAAAATTCCAAACTCTTTCTATGAAGCCTCCATTGCCTTGATTCCAAAACCAGGCAAAGACCCCCTGAAAAGGAGAACCATAGACCAATTTCATGATGAATATGGATGCAAAAATCCTCAACAAGATATTAGCCAACCAGATCCAACAATACATTAAAAAAATTATTTACCACAGTCAAATGGGGTTTATACCTGGATGCAGGGCTGGTTCAATATCTGCAAAACAATCAATGTGATTCATCACATCAGTTAAAGAAAGGACGAGAACCACATAATCTTCTCAATAGATGTAGAGAAAGCATTTGACAAAATGCAGCATCCTTTCTTGATAAAAACCCTCAAGACAGTAGGGATAGAAGGATCATACCTTGAGATCTTAAAAGCCATATATGAAAGACTAATATATCATCCTCAATGAGGAAACACTGAGAGCTTCCCCCCTAAGGTCAGGAACAGGACAGGGATGTCCACTCTCACCACTGTTATTCAACATAGTATTGGGCGTCTTAGCCTCAGCAATCAGACAACCCAAGGGGGAAAAAATAAGTCACCCAAAGTGGCCAGGAGGAAGCCTAACTTTCACTCTTTACACATTACATGACATTCTATCTGGAAAACCCAAAAGATTACACACACACACACACACA